GCTCAAGCTTGAGGCAAGGCCTGCTATCGTGGTCGTTCATGGAGTAGGCAATCCTCAGCATGGCCTCAGCTACAGCCAGGATGTACAGCTTTGCTGTGTGCTCGCCTGATGGAGTTCTTATCGGGGCAGAATAAGAGAGGCATTTCATCCGAGCTAGAGTGTTGCTGCTGCTGCTGCTGCTGCTGCCGCTGCTGCTGCCACTGCTGCCACTGCTGCGCCGCTGCTGCCGCTGCCACTACATTGCTGCGCCTGGGCGCTGGCTGCTTGGGGTATCTCCCCCGTTAAGTAGACAGACAATCAGGTTGACTTTGGGCGATTCCATATTCTATCTACTTAAGGGGGAGTATAGTTGCAAGGCACAAAGCAGCCAGAACCTGGGCTCCCAGTTGCAATGTCTCAAATGGGGGTCTCCCAAAATGGGGGTCCCCATCAGAAAGACTATGGCATACCGGGTTTATACTGCAGTCCCCCCATTTTGGGAAATAACCAAATATTGACGTGCTAGGGAATATTTATATCTCCGCTCATTGCTGAACCGGTCACGGCTAGTAGAAGCCGTAGTAGTTATGACATAGTAGCTTTGCTAGCATGACTGTTATTGTTATTGTCGTGTTTATTGAGTTATGATTCATCCTCCTATCCTTACTCCTTTTCCACTCCTCCTGCTCTTCTGCTACCTCTCCTCCTGCTCCTACTCGCATATTTGCCAGTATGCTACTACGCCACTACTACTACTACTACTACTACTATTACTACTACTACTACTACTACTCCTGCTGCTGCTGCTACTACTACTACTACTACTACTAGTACCAGTACTAGTACTAGTACTAGTACTACTACATTACTCCCCTCCTGTTTACTGCTACTTGGTGCTGTATTAGTACTATTCTCATTCTTATTCTCATAGCTGGCAATAACAACAGTTATTATTATTACCACAATAATAATGGTAGTTATTACTGCTACAATTCCTCATGCTACTACTAGTGGCAGCGACAACAAGACGACTTATTCTGCTCAGCTGCACCATGATCATGCATGAGCGTCTTGCAGCTGGTCCTTGAGCCCTGAGATATTGCGGAGTCATGTCGATGTGGAAATGTTATGTGAAGACCCATAATTTTGGGAGACTCCTACGTGGCCTTGCATGAGACCGACAGACTTCTAAACCCTATGCACGTTGGCACTGCTATGCAGAAGCAACCCCGCATCGATGTTCACGTGTATTGGTATGCATCAGTGTACACAGGTATGCAGACAGGTACATGCAAATTGAGAAACAAACAGCCCACTTATCAACATGTTTTTCGGAGATGGATGTGGTGCGCGGCCCCCAAAGGGAAGCCGGGGCATCCATGTTGTTGCCAGAGGCGGCGTTGAGAGGTCCTTTGGCCGGAGCCTTGGATGAGTGGTTGCAGTGGCATCATCAACAACCGAAAGGCTAGCTATGCTAGCTAAGAACTATGTGCGGTTTTCGCCATGAGGCCTGCAACGGCTATCTCACCTTGCAAGCCTCGCCCGGGCAGCAAAGATCTGCCTTTGTTTGGCGATGGCTGGCCCCGGGCTGCGCTTTGCAGGAGGGAGCGCCCTGCGCTGTGAGCACCGCTCCAGCCGTGTGCGGCGCGCAGCAGAGGACACGATGGGCGAGCTCTTCACGAAGTACTATCGACTGCAGGAAGTGAACCGCAACCTGGAGGCCAAGTTGCTCCAAAGCCCAAAGTCAACTCAAGCTAAGCCTGGGGTCTCCATTCCTGAGCAACACATTCTGGATGCGAAGGCAGACCAAAGTCGCAGTGGTCTCTGAGCTTCTCGAGGTTCCTGACTGCCCGCACCAGTTACTTTGAAAGCTTACAACATCCAGACTTTTCCAAAGGGCTCAAGAAACTCACAACACATGAATTTTTGTTTTGGGATGTAATGCTTTGTAGTTCTGGCTTCGCAGCCCGCAGCAAGCCCGATAACGTCGACAGATGATGCCTACTACTCACAATCAAGCCCGGAACCAGTAAACGCATCCATCTATGGAGGTCTTGGATGACCTTGAGCGTGGCGCCAGCCAGGACATTATGATACGTAGGGGTCTAGGAAGAAAGTTTGTTGGGCAATGGGCGCGCCCTCCCTCCTGAGCGTAAACGAACATCCAACCAGAAGGAGCTATTTCTGTCCTTGCAATGTTCCTGCCATTTACTTCTTGTGTTTATTAGTAGGGGAACTCTTCTTTGAAGCTGCATCCATTGTGCCTCATCTTCCGATTCTGTCCTTTGAAGCCCCAAGCTATCCACGAGGACGGGGGAACGGGCAGCTCCTCGACGCTGCGGTGCTTTGGCTCCAGTTCTTCGGGACGACGTTGTCAGTGGGTCCATTATAAGCTGTGCCAAATTCATGATCCGGTTTTTGACTAAATGTGGGCACCAGATTTGCCACACGCCCGCGTCTCATGCTGCGACATTGAGAAAGGGTACCGTGAACCAGGGAGCCTCAAACAAAAGGTGTTACAGTGCTGAGTATCTCCAAAGTTTTATTGCGTTGCTCTGACTTGGTGCCTAGGAGCCTGGCTGAGAAGTTTCAGAACCGGCTGCAGCCCCAGCCAGCACATTCAAATTACCTAACCCTGACGAGGACTTAAAAGGGAACTTCTGTGGAAATGAGGCGATGTCAAACCCTCAGCTCCAACTCGTAAATTTTCCAATGGTTCCATCTAGTTCTACGCAGGGTATTTCGGCGCCGCAAGGGATTGGTTCATGGACCTAGACAAGCAACATGTGTTTTCGTAAGATGTTTCCGCAGCTTTCGATATCAGGGTATTGGGTAATTTCGATTCATGATCGGCGGGGAATAGTAGCCTACTCATTTAGACATGCACATCGCTGGCTTGGATTCACAGGTTTACGTTTCAATCACGCTAAGGTGGTCCCTGTCCTGGAAGGCTTACTAAACGGAATCCTCACAGCCAGGGCTGCTGATTTTCCACACTTGGTTTCAAAGACAATGAAGTTGGGCTTGGCGCAAGGCATCAATATTTGGCCTGAACAGCCCTTGCTCCTCCAAAAGCCCTGCTATACCTAGCAAGCTCTTCTTTTGAAGAGACTTGTGGAGGGTCCAGAACGAAGATCTGTAATCTTAAGCTGAGAGCCCCAATAAGAAGTTCCTGAAGCGTGTAATTCGGAAAACCCGCCTCCTCTTCGGATTCATCTTTTGCCAACGGTCTAGTAAGATTTCATAATGCAGCTAAGGGATTTGGTGTGAGAAACCCCCTTAAGCCTAAACACCAAATGTTAACTGTAACATGCTAACAGTACCCCTAAACTCGAAACCCTAATCCCTACAATGAACCCTACACTAAACCCTAAACCCTGAACCTTAAACCCAAACCTTTAATCAAATAGTCGAAAGCAGCATGCGATCCCTGAGAAGTTAGAAGACCCAAGCTGCCTTTGCATGAGGCTGCAGTCGCTGGGCTTTGAGAGGATAAAGGCCAGCATCTATGGTAGTTTCCCTAAATAGGGGGACCCCAATTTAGACCCCAACATACTATAATCCTTATTTTTGCGACTCCCAAAATGGTACCCTTAATGCCGGGAAACACCCATATTTTGTGTTGCAATTTTCCCTTGGAATGTGCAGCGGCAGGGCGCCACTAGCTAGGTCACAGAAATCTTTCGTAGCACCTGCTTTGGGCCAATTCATTCGCAAGTTCTGCTGTAGCTTTTTGTTTGACACTCTTTCCCATGCCTTTCAGAGAAGGACCTAAACCCTAACCGATGGCTTCCACGGTGATTCACAGCTGCCTGCAGGTAGTATGCAAATCGCCTCTGCAGAAGGGTACGTTCCTATGCTTCGCCTGGTAGTCTATGGCAATTTGCGGCCTTGCCGCCTTTTCATCTAGCCGCTATATGATCCTTCAGCTTTGAAGTGGTATGGGCCTATGGGGATTCCTTTGCCAAGTGCGATGTAATACTACTTCTGTTTAATACTTTCCCTGGAGAGACCAAAGCGTGCAAACTTAAAGCCTTGAACCTCTGCCAGACCCTCTGGCCACAAGCCCCGCTCGCCCTTTTGGCGAGGCATTGGGAGCCGCCTTTGACCCAGCCGAGCATGAGGCATTCGGAGTGTGGCGGTAGAGGGTTTGAAGCTTTGCTGCTGCTAGTGGTTTGAGGCTCTCCTTCGGCGAAATAGAAGTGGAATTTGGTATAGTTGGTCTTTGTCGTGGCTACATAGGAACATTAAGTGATTCTATGTGGTTTCGGTAAGGGTTTCAGAGCATAGCGTGGACATCGAGGATGTCATAGCTCATGACATGGTCATCGGGGCTTGGGGTTCTGAGGCTTTCCGAGAGATGCGGTAGTTCCTTTGTAGGGCCATTTGGTGGTTTATCACAAGAAAGGGGTACCATCCTGGGGGGGTCTCTATACTGAAGGATTCCAGAATTTGGGGTCTATATTGGGGTCTCCCTGTTTAGGGGAACTACCATATTCCTATCCGTGCGAGATGGCCCTAGCATGCCGAGTCCACTCGCATTGAGCATGAACATCATGGCTGAAGTATACTTTGGCAAGGCATTGTGCTGTGTCGAGCATGGAACGCTAAGAATGCACATGGACTATCCTGCCTTTATTTGCGGACACGTGAAGAGAGATAGTTGCCCTCCAGAACAGCTGTATTCGGCAGCGTGCCAGATGTCTTGCTGCACCCTGAACGCTGCAAGCCCGGTTCGGGTCCCCTGACCACCAGGCATCAGACGAGCGATGGACCAGATTGCTTAGCTCACCGAAGATAAGAGCAAGACTGATATGCCACCTGATGTGAATGCATGTGTAAGAAGCGCGAGCTGGAGGAATTCCACACCTAAGGAGTCTTAAACCCAATGCAAGCAGAGGCATCGCCGCTGAGCTTCGGTATCTTCGCCCAAGCCTAAATCCTCTGGCTGTGAGGCCGCCTCGCAACGCCCTGCAGAGGGCCAGGAAGAGGGGACAGTCTGCGAGGAGCTGAGGCACAACGAGGGCTAAGGGTTCTACGAGGATTTCGTTTTCGTAGGAAACTGGTAAGGCAAGTATTGGCAAGTCCTGGCTGTGCATTTAATCTGGATTTTGGCAGACAAGTCCAACAGGGAAGGCGTTGAGCCGCGCGTTGCAAAAGAGACTCCATGGTAACCCAGACCCCTGATTAATAAACCCCCTCCCCTTAATAGGGATTATAATGGGGATCCTAATATTTAAGCCCTTAAATGGAGGGGGTTTATTAATCATGGGTCTACATTACCCGGCAGATTCTTTTGTTGTCCCCATGGTGCCGTGCAAGCCATGTCTTGGCCTCCTCCGACACCTCCGCACCTGGAGCTTTCCACCAGACCGCCCAGTCCTGAAGCGGCAAGCCTGACGGAAGTCTACAGGGGTACCCCAATAATGGAGAATCAACATGAGATGGAGACTGCTATATTAATATAGGCTATAAGGGTTATATGAAAGATTGCAAGCCCAACAAGACAATCATAATGCAACTTGAAGGTTTTGTTTGTAAAGAGCGCGCCAGTTGCTGGCCCTGGCAAGCAGGTCTGGTTGGAAGCTTGGCGAGCGAGACCTGTCCTGTTTAGACATGCTTGAAGACCGGTACTACCCCTCCTTCAATCATGTTCATTGGTATGAGGAAGCCTACACATGAAGGAGTTCTTGTCACAAAGATGACATCAAATTGGCACTACCGGCTATGCATGCTTGCCATACTTCTATGCCCCGCAGACGGCTCATTTGTAGATGGCCTTCCCCTGCCGCGTTCTTGCTGGTTTGTGCACATGTTCTAAGGCGTGGTTCGGCCGTCAGTGGTCATTGTGGCATCTTGACGGTGGGAGCTGAGTGGTTTCGAGAATCGCTGGCCTGAAATGCTGCGCGCGAAAGGTTCTACCGCTCGCCAGGATCAGAAAGATTTCGCAACGGCAAGTGCTCTAGACCAGCAGAGATACCAGACCTTTCGTGTACTGGCCTTGCATCTTGAACTGCTTCAGCCTTTCCTCCCAAAACACCATGGCAGCTGCGCTGTGAGAGCTCAGCTTGCTTTCCCGCATGGTGAGGAGAGGCAGTAGCACTGTATTGAATCCCCTCACTCCAAACCTGACATCTAATAGTGCCCAGACCCTGTGCCTTCCAGACGCAAAAAACATTGGGGAACTTGACTCCCTCGCTTCCAGAACATAGGAAACACCATCTTCCTCAAATTCAGACAGCAGTTAACTCCACGAGAGTACCAGGGGATACAAATGAGGAATCTTGCCACGTAGATAGTTAAGGCCTGCAGAAATTCCGCCATGGCCAGCCACCCGCTGGATACTGCATCCTGCCCAAGCCGTGTCTTGGTTATGGTTTGCTGTGTGTGAGGGTGCACACAGGGTTTCAATTTCAATTCAACCCTAGGCAAAATTGCTGGCTTGGGCCCAAGGTTTTTGGCTGCTATGGCTTTGGCCGCTCTTGCGCAGAGGTGCGCAGAAACCTCTCAAAGAAGAGGATATGTACGAGCACCTTGGGTGCACGTTAAGTGCAGGCGTTCTCTTCTAACATCAGTAAAGACAACGATGTTGAGAGTGGCAGTTAAAGCAGAAAGCAAACGATTAGGCCTGTGTCATATCCAACCCCTTGTGTGCCCACACGCACATGCAGCATGAGTGACATGAAGGTGGTGTTTGCATGTATAGTGGCTGCTGGTGAACTGCAGTTGCCGTGACCCCCCTTCGCTGAAGACTGCTGACCTCGCAGCTGCTGGGTCAGGATACCAGAATGCCTACGTGCGGCTTGCTTAGATCCGTGTTGGTATGCGCGGCTGAAGAAGGTGAAGGCAGGGCATGATTTGCAACCGCACTTTGCCAGACGGCTGTGATGGTTGCTCGCTCCATGCCCCCCTTCTGAAAGTTATTGATGCGAAGGCTGAGGGGCCTCACGCTTCAGTCCTTTGGCTGCTGATGCGGACATTTGGTTGGAGATACATCTTCATCCTGCTCACTTTTACTGTTTGGCTGGCAAGTCTGTCGCTGCTTCCCTTCCTCACCGACTGCCTCTTTGAATGGCTCGCGGAAGGCCGGCCAAGTGTGCAGGAACATAGAAGCAGCCATCACCATTCTATCACCCTCATAGGAAAAACT